GATAGACATCCCAACGAAAGTGCGGCTGCAGGCAACCGATTGACCTCCCTCAGGCTGGAGGAGGCATCTTACGCCCGCCCGAATGGCTTCCGGGCAGCACGCGGGGGGAGCCTGGGGGGCGTGCGCATTTCAAAAAGAATGGATAGAGCAGTCATCACAGGTCACTATCCTCTGACATGCCACAATACTATGCTACAAGCAATGGCCTCACCTGTCACCGCTGGCAAATCAATATGGATCAGCTGCTTGCCAATTTCGTCTCCACACCTGTTAGTGAGCCGACCTGGCTGTGAGCCTCAGCTCTTGGCCGGTGACAGAACAATGGACGATTGGCGCCCAGGTGAGCCTCAGTTCTTCGTCTGTGGGAGTCTGCACTCAGCCAATCTTGTGCAAAGATGGCACAATGTGCCATGCTAGGACATATTTCAGTTTCATCTGTTTTATGAGGGCCATGCACGTCTGTGGATAGCGACCTTTGATGAACGCTCGATCCATCCTATTTCGCACTTTGCATGCCCCTCAGGCTCCTTCCGCTTCCTGTCCGGGAGATCGGGCAGGCGTGTGAGGGAGGCCTGTAGGTTGCCTGCAGCTACGTTTTATTTGCAATGCCCACCACTTCCGCGCCCAAGACTGGCCACAGTCGTCTTTGCTTGTGCAATCGTTTGTCATGGCTGTGCCGCAGGATGGCTGTTTTCCAAGGCCTGTAATGCATTGCAACCTTTGATGACCGGTGACGATCATTACTGATCTGAAGAGCTGCAAATCGTTCGCACCAGCTGAATTGTCGTGCATTCGAACAAGGCTGAAGTGCCTGCAACCTAACCTGGCAAGGGCGACCCTGCGCTCAAAGGCCATTGGTGAATGGCCTCCAAGGACAACAATCAAAGTCCTGATACAGTGTTTTGCATATCTCGAGAATTCAGGCCCAACTAGTCAGTACAACGCTCTTTCATGTTTCACACGTCTCACCCTAGTACAGTCGAAACTCTGCCCACATTGGTTGTTGGGGTCCTTGGTGTTGGTGCTTTTTGGGGTTGTTTTGGGTTTTGGGTTTGTTGTTGTGTTTGGTTCTCTGTTTTTTCGGGTTGCTCCCCTTACCAATATGCAGAGTTTCCATCCTTCCCATGATGACCTGGGCACACCGCCCACACGGCGTCCGTACTCGTGGAAAAAGCATGTTTCAAGAACGCACAAACTAACGGCATACCTGCATGGCGCCAATCGATACTCAACATCCTGTTGCCATTGAGCCAGTCTGCAGCTCAGTCTGGCTCTCTGTGAGCTTTTTGGAACTTTTGCCTTTCTGTGACTCCCGTGGCAAAGCTGTTCCGCCAAATTTCGAAGAGCACAGTTGCCGTGTCCGCCTGGTGATGAACTGTGCACGCTAGCGCCCCGCAACTACACTGCATGTCTCGGCTCCGCTGTCTCGTGCTTCGATGATTTGAAGTCCTCGACTGCTGACAGTCGTTTTCCTGAGCCTCACGTGTCTAGCATCCTGTTCCGGCCCTCGACCGCAGAACAGCAACCCGTTGCATGGCAGCCAGGGAAAGGAGCCACCACGACGAAAGCTGAACCCGCTGAAGAGCGCGGGAGCAAAAACCAGCAGTAGACCCAGCTCATGCCAGACTGTTGAAGGCACTTTCCACCAAGCAGGTGATGCACGAGACCCCAGCTCAAGGTCATGGTGCCCGTCAAGTGACAGAGTGAAGTACAAGGATGAATCTCTCGAGCCGGGGGCAACCAGCTTGGGGCAGCAAGCCAATAGTTTCGCCGAATGGCCATTTGCCAGAGCAGTGTTTCCCATTGTTCTTCTCCCTGCCCTTGCTCATAAAAGACGTCAGGAGCAATTGCCTCAAGAGGCATGATCTGGCCAGTTAGCTGACGTTGGAGCTCTCGATTCACCAAACAAAAATTTCGGCTCCTCTGGGCGCGGGAGGCGGTGGTGTGGGCAGGAAAAGTACACTCCATTCGGCGTGTGTGCCTTTTCAGCACTGTTAGAAGGGACAGGCTGGTCAGGACAAGGCGTAAGCGCCTCGCCTTTCCTCCATGGTGTTCGACCAAGCAGACCGGGAGGTGGCGTATTTCTGTTTCACCATGTTTCACCAGGGCCATGCATGTATGTGGATAGTGACCCATGATGACTGCTCTATCCATCCGATTTTGCATAGCACACCCCCCAAGCTCCTGCTGCTGCCTGCCATGGAGCCTATTGGGTGGGTGTGGGCAACCTCCCCCGGATGAGGGAGGTTAGTAGGTTGCCTGCAGCAACGCTTTTTTGCAATGTCCACCACCCCTTGCCCGCTGTTTTCCAAGGCCAGAATTGCATTGCAACTACAAATGATCGTGAATGATCATAACAGATCTGAATTGCTGCAAACAGTTCGCACCAGCTGAAACCGTCGTGCTTTCGAATCTGGCTGAAGTGCTTGCAACCTAACCTCAAGGGCTGACTTCCCTTGTCCGCTCCTGAAGGCCACTGGATTGGCCTTCAAGGGTAGCTGACCAATGTCCCATTACATTGTATGGCAAACTTCGTGAATTCAGGGCCCGATTAGTTACAGTGCGAAACTCTGCTCACTTTGGTTAGGGGGTCCTTTTGGGGTTGGTTTTGGGGGTGTTTTTTGTTTGGTTGTTGTTGTTGTTGTTGTTGTGCTGGTTCTGTTTTTGGTGCTGCTCCCCTACCAATATGCAGAGTCTCCATCCTTCTCATGATGACCTGTGCACACCGCACACATGGCGCCCGAACTCATGCAAAAAAAACAGACCGGGAGGTGGCGTGATGGAGCCGGCAGGAGCATGCCAAGGGCAGTTCATGGCGTCAATTTCGAGAAGGATGGTGGGCTGAAGGTGGTGCAGTGGGCGAGCAGCATGGCATGTGAACACTTAGCAGCATGATGGAAGCCTTTTTTGGAATTTGATCTCGGTGAGCCTTCTGCAGGCAATCAGCATCCTCAAGCAAGACGCAATTCTTGTGAAGTTCTCGAGAAGGCCACGAGCAAAACGAAAAGTCAGGGAAGGTGCACCCTCAAGGGCATGTGCACATGCTGCGCCCCTCGTTGGGAATCACACCACAGCTCGCAGTTGGACTCTGTGGCGAAACACACTTAGATTGATGTTCGCAAGAGCTAAGTCAGTTGAGGCAATCCACTCTAGTGAATACAACAGCGATCTAGGGCGCTGGAACCTGAACTTGTCAACGGCCATGTGCAGAACAGAAAGGTTAGAAGGTCAGCCTAAACAGTACTTCAACAATGCTTGCATGAAGTCGCGGGTGCGCAGTTGGACGTCTCCAACTGTATCACAGGTGACTGATGAGCGTGTTTGTTAGCACCGGTCTCATCAGCACCCTCGGTGCCCCTTGCCTGGGTGTTGGAGAATTTCCAGTAACTGATTAACTTGCATGGGATGGGTGTCCTTTGGTACAGGTGTAGGCACACACACGAGCGGTTCATTGCCCACAGATCGCAGCATTGCAGTTCATTGCATGGCAAGCCAGGCCCAAAGAAAGGATAACCCGAGCAAACCTGGATGCTGGGCGCAATGCCGCCCAGTGGAATAAATTGAGTTTTGATTGGCATTTTTTTTTGGATGGGGGGAACTTTGTGTCGTGCGAAGGTTGTAATTTCCACCGTTCTCCTTTTTTCGAGGCAAAGTAATATTGTGGTTGAAGCAGCATGTGCTTCTTACTAATGGCGACCAACGAACCCCCAACAGGTGTGGGAACTGAAAAAAATTGGTTTTGCTGCGTCTATATATCTATTTTAGTACTTGAGATTGTGGAAGTTGAGCCTGCACGAGGCCATCCCAAGCACCAATGCCTTCCAGTTGAAACCCAGATGGACAATGCAATGCCGGAATGAACCGTGGCAGGTTCAGCACAAAGGTGCACGGAATCAATTTCAGCAACAACTTGACAATCAACGATACATACTATGTCTACAAGTTCCCCCAAAGATCAATTTGCGTCTTTATGCACGGGACTGATCGATCATTCCATGTGTTTGAGTTACGGGTATTTTGAATACAGTTAGTTAGTTAGTTAGTTAGTTAGTTGGTATTTTGTCCAGCAATATTTCTGGAAATGCCTTGATACCGTCGGATGCCATGGAATCTGCCTTGGTGAACCGGTTTGCTGATCCTGTGGATTCTTCAGATGGTGCCAATTCCAGTTTGAAGTTCTGGTCGTTTTGCTCATTTTTGGTGGAGCCTTGGCAGCTTTCACTTTCAGTCCTCCCCATTCAAGCCAGCAAAGTGTGCTCCATGTTGTTTTTCGACTGCATTGCTTTGCATTGCTGGTGCTTGAAGGTTTCTACATCTATCGCTTGCGTGATACTGGCGCGACCGTGGCAGTTTCTGCCGCTGCACATGCGAAATGCACCCGGCTCATTATTGGACACAAAATAGGCATAAAACAGTTGTAGTGCTTTTCACGCAAGTGTATTGATTCAGGCAGCGCTCATTGATGAGAAGGTGGAGCAAGCGATGCCTCCTCATGAGTTTGTTAGCTTGGGATTTGGGACAGTGTGCCGGTCTAGCCTCGAGGACAGCGGTTGCTTTCAGAATTGAGGGTTGTGTGTTCGTGGTGACTCTAGAGATGGGCCTCAACCTTGCACCCAAAGCACTACATAAACATTTTTCCGCTTCGAACACTCCTAGTAGTTTCTTGTTTCTAATAGCTTCTTGTTACTACTAGTAAGGCACCTGTTACTACTAGCGATGCACTTGTTCCTAGTAGCTTCTGCAGGATGTGCGCATACGTCCAGAACAAGGAGAAATTCTAGTTGGTGTTTCGCGACCATCATGCGAGCATCTGTGCTCTGTGAACGAACGCTGTACTGGCTGCTTGCTTTGGGAACTCTTTGAGAGACTGAAGTGCAACTAGATTCTAGAAGAACATTTTGCCATAGTTTCATTTTTGGTCAAAAGGGTGCATCGGGAAAAGAGAGAACCTGTACTGAAACTAAGGCTTTGAATTTCGAATGGGCGAACAACGATGTGAGATGTGGCATCAGAAGATCTTTGCCCATCGCCACATTTTTCACAACAGAACAGTTCCAGGCCAGAACAGCCAGAACAGTTTCTTACACCGATTGAAGATGAGACTGCTAAACTGCAAGAAGAAGAACTGAAGGGGCACGGATTGTAATCTATTGGGTGTGTTTTGATGCTGACTTTGTCTCAGGTAGCCCTGATTTTGAGTGTATTTTGAAGTCTCCAAGCTGCCATACCTTAAAGGCCCGTGTTGTGGCCTTGCCATGTCGGTTTTGCTTATTTCAATCAGAAACGCAACAAGCCTTTTCTAGTCTTGCCATTGGATGCTCTGAACAATTCTTGAACACATTGTTTCCAGCCTTGGGTCTACTCTGGACTTTGTGACTTCAGTCTACCCAGGTGCAGAAAAGTCTTCATGACTTGGCAGTCGCTCGGCAGAAGACGAAGAGTCATGATTTTATAGTACACTACTAGGAGCAAAGGGCATCGCTACTAGTAGCAAGGACGCTACTAGTAGCTCCTGGCATTACTACTATCAGCAAGGACGCTCCTAGGAACAAAGGACAAATTTAAAGCACTTGCGGGACACGCCAGTGTGTTCTGGACAGATCATGGACCTCTCCTTCTTTCTATCGGACTATTGCGAATATGGACCAACGAACGAGAAATTTGATGCTTGCTCTCGTTTTTACGATTCTTGGCTGCATCAATGGTATGCATGGCTAGACACCTATTAGTCAAAAGAGCTTCTTTGCTAGAAGTAAATGCGCAACCTTGAAGAACCATGAGTTCTATGTCACATGCCTTTCTGACTAAATTTGCTTAATTATTCGGGTTGCTTCGCAAAAGAAGTCGCTATTAATGAATCCTTCATTTTTAGACCCTCTGATAAATTAGTTATGTCTTACTTGCAATTTGCCAGCATTGTTGGATATATTGTTCGACCCCCTTGAAATTGTACATTTTCAAGGGGGTTGAAACATAGAGAGATTAAACATGTACAGTAAACTATGCAATGTGCATGATCGAGACAAGACTGAGAGATGAACGCAGCATGAAGTGGATGAGTAAAAACGGAGTCTCTATATTCACGCTACTTTTGGACCCTCTTACAAATTGCTACTGTTGTTAAATCTGTTAATCTGACGTTTCGTCGAGACATGCACACCTAGGATTTGCTCGAGCTAGGTTCACGGCCACGACGGCCTTCGCATGGCGGCAGCGGAAAACGCGTGCCGTAGGTGATCCAGGGTTCCGGGGCTTCCAAGCTCCGCATTTGCATTGGTAGCGAGTTGCCGACCTCCGGCATTCGCGCCCGCTGCGGCCGATGTTCTTTGATGAGGACCTCTACGGCGCAGAGGAGGCTGCAGACTTCGAGAACTTCGATGGCGCGGCCTTCATGGAGGAAGATGAGGAAGAGGAGGAGCCGGACCTGACCGAGGTCTATGACTTTGGCGCTCCGGCTGAAGCAGGCCACGGTGGTGGAACTGCTGCTGGCTCGGGCCCTGACGGCCCTCGAGACGGCGATGGTGGTGGACCTGCCGGATCTCCGGCAGCATCGACTTCGAGAATGGCACCTTCGACCTCAGGTGGAAGCCAACGACGTCGAAGGGGCTCAAGAGGCTCCGGGTCTGGTGGCGGATCCGGCACAAAGCCGAGGTGGAGATCGGGGCACATCCCGGCACCTCCATCTTTCGATGGCAACATCGAGCAGGAGCCCTTCTGCCTGAGACACTACAGAAGAGCACTTACAAGATGGGTGACAATAACAAAAGAGTACCCCCCGGCCAACGAGCAAGCTCTACGGGCATTAGACGCCCTGACTGGCGATGCAGCTTTGGAGCTCGAGGAGGTGGAAGACAGCCGCTACAACACCGAGCATGGCATCTCCACCCTCCTGGCCGACCTCGAGATTTCGTTCGGCGAGAAGGAGCTGTTCAGGAAAGGCGGACTGATTCGCGAATTCGAATCGCTGGTCCGCATGCAGGGAGAATCTGTCAACGCCTTCGTCAGGAGGTTCCGCCTGATGGAGCGCAAGCTGAAGGACGCCCAGCTCCCTCAATACCCTGAGGAGACTCGGGCGGTCAAGCTTCTGGACGGGCTCAAGCTCGAGGAGAGGGCCACGGCCCAGCTGCTCCTGGCGGCTGGCAACAAGTACAACTTCCGCTTTTCCGGACATCACCTTGGAGTAAGACTTGATGAATGGCCCTCGGAGCTTCCCACTTGGCCTTGTCAGTTGCCATTCATGCAGCATCAACTTCCTGATGTTTGGGCTCCGACGGCGTCACCAGTGAAGGCTCAAGAGCTGCCTTCTGCAAGGCACCCGGCTGTGAGACCACCACTTCATGGCTCCGAAGGCACCTCCTCCGAAATGGCTGCGCAGCTGGCATGCTCTTTTGATGCACCTGATGGACTTCGTGCAGAGTGTTTGGAAGGCGGTGCTTCACTACTCCGCCATCAGCCTGAGGCCCAACTTGAGGGACATGGTGCTCCGCCAGTTCATGGTCCCCTCGACGGCAACTACCATGATGACGACTGCAGCGGCTCAGATGGTGCAGAACCAGCTGGGGATGACCAAGTACCCTCGCAGTCCGGACAACTGTCCACACGAGCGGGGATTCCGCAGCGGAGTGAGCGTGAAGATCTGCGACTTCTGCGGCTACCGGGCAGTGATGTCCGAGGGAACACTTCAGAGGATCAATCCAAAGGCCAGCCCTTCAGCGAAGACTCCACTCGCACCAAGGCCAAGGCCAAGGCCACCGGCAAAGCAAAAGCAAAGGCCCATTCAGCCATCTCAGATCCTTTATCTTCTGGCTTGGGACCTTCTTGGCATTCATGGCAGGACTCCTCCTCCCTCGCAGAACTGGACACAGCAAGTTTTCACCAACAACCTCATGCGCCAGATGCAGGAACAACTTCGCCAAGAGCTGCAACAGAGCATGGGCAATATGGTCTACCCCAAGGCGACTATGCCACCACCTCCGGAGACGGCTTCAGTCCATTCTGGCCAGAGGTGGGAGCAGCTGAACTGGCAGAATCCGAACCAAGCTCAGTCGGACGAACAATGGCAAGATCCGGAGTACGAGTGGGGAACGCCCGCCTACGAGGACGAGGACCCCGACGAGGAGCAGCCGGACTTGGAGGCGATGTCGACACATGGTTCGCCTGACGCTCCACTGACTTTTGAAGATCAGGGCTTCGAGGTCATGAAGCCTGGCAAGCAAAAGAGACTTCTTGGCACCCTTCGAGGACTACAGCGAATATGGTGTGTGGAACACACGATCTATGAGAATTGCTTGGCATCAGCAATTCGTCTTCGAAGGCACAAGGCCGACATCATCGAGGTCTTTGCCGGGAAGGGAAACATCACCGCCAGAGCACTTGAGATGAACCTGCGAGCACTACAGCCCGTGGACGAGTGCTGTGGCATTCGCTTGGACTGCAAGGCCGACTTCGACTGGCTTCGCGGTCTACTTGATGAATGGAAGCCCATCCTGACCCTTCTTGAACCAAAGTGTCGTTTATGGAGGCTCTGCGCAAGGAAGCACAGGTCACCGTCAAAGAGACAGTCGCCATGATTGAGGACGCTCTGAACGACAACCGTTTCTTCCTTCTGGAGAACCCTCACCATGGAGCTCTATGGCAACAACCAGACATGCTCCGTCTTCTCGAGAAGTATGGCCACATTTTGTACTATGACCACGGTCACATGTGCCGCTATGGCCTCCGAGGATGACACGGTGGTTTGATCAAGGAAGGCAACAGGCTGGCTTTCCAACAGCCGCATCCTTTTGTAGGGATGCTGTAAGAAGTGTGTGTGCACGCAACCTCACGAGGAGTGCATGGGTGGCAACAGCACCTTGGCAGCTGTCTACACCAAGTCATGGAGCTTCTTCGCCGCCTGGGAGATGAGCGATTTGTTTCTCCAGCTTGGCCTGCCGAGGTTGAGGACGATGAAGCCCCTGACGATGAGGCAACCAAGGAGGAGGACTACCTGGACTTGAACAAAGACACCGAGCGCTGGCGTCCTTTGTTGATGGAAGCAGCTCAACGCTTAGAAGGCAAAGTCGCAGTTTCGGCTTACATCAAGCCATCAGCCTTCCTGGAGCAGATCAAGGCCTTGGTTCCTTGGCATTTGGAGCTTGCTCAAATCTATCGACTCCCAAAAGCTCGGAGAATGCCTGCCAGAAAGTTGATGGAGACACCCAACATCACACACAGAGGAGCAGCCCTTTTGTTCCAAGACAACACGATCTCTGTGGAGTCACAGTCGATAGAACTCCTACCAGCAGGACAGACACAGACTCGCTTTGATCGAGCAGTGCGAGTTGCAATCTTCCTATACGGAAAACCATTGGCTCTGACCACAGCTGCTCAGCGTCGTGCTGTTCGAGTTCAGCGCATCCAAGACGCCCAGTAACCTGACCCTGAGGACCTCATGGAAACCTGGCAACCTGGAGCAAAAGATATTCAGTTTCCAGGCATCGACCGGGACACTGTGCCCTTCTGGATGCAAAGCGTTTTGAGGCGACTCCACACCAACTTGGGACACCCAAGTAATGCTCAACAGCCGCTTTGATCGGTGCACGGGCTTTGAAGTGCGCCGTTTGTGAAAGATTGAAGAGCAACAAAGAGCCAAGACCCACAAAGGCTCTCGGACCTGCAAAAGCCTTCAACCAGAGAATGGTGGTCGACATTCTTTACGTCCACGACCTGTCAGGCGAGACCCATGTTTTTCTCAACCAGGTCGACGACATGACCACCTACCAAGTTCTCACCAGGCTGAGCAGTCGAGAGGCCAATGTTTTGATTTCTGCTTTTGAAGATGGTTGGTTTCAATTTTTTGGCGCTCCTGAGCAGATCTTGGCCGACGCTGAAGGCGGCATCAGGAGCAACCAGTTTGAAGACCACATGGCCTATCATGGAGTGGCAGTGCGCTACATTCCACCTGATGCTCGCTACCAGCTTGGCAAAGCTGAAAGACATGGAGCAATCGCCCGAAGCATCATGATGCGCCTGATCCACCAGTTTGGTTTGTTCGGAGCTGAGTCCATGACTGTGGCAGCAAACATGGCAACCCATGCCAAGAACTCCCTCACTCGAAGAGGTGGTGCAAGTCCATGTCAATGGGTTTTTGGTTGCAATCCACGTCTTCCCACTTCACTGGTGTCGGAAGGCGAGAACCCTGAAGCAATGGAGATGAGCCTCAGCCAACAGTTCCAGCAGATCGAACAGATCCGTTACCAGGCCATGCAAAGAGGCCCATCTCCCCGAGGATGACCTACAGAACTGTGCACCACTTAGACAGAAGCCAAAAGAAAGTAAGACCAGTGTTAATCTGACGTTTCGTCGAGACATGCACACCTAGGTTGGCATTCTGTCAG